TTCTTCTTTGCGCGCTTCTCTGCATCTTTGTCTGCCTTCTTCTTTGCATCTGCCTCTGCCTTCTTTTGTGCCTCCTCCTCTGCCTCTTTCTTTGCAAGCTTCCCTGCTGTCTTCTTCTCTTTCTTCTCTTCCTTCTCTTCTTCCTGGTCTGCGCTTGTCTTGGCGCGCCTGCTCTTCTTTCGCGCACTTTCATCTTCTTGTGACTCTCTCTTCTTCTTCTGTTTCAACTCAGGTTCACCATCACAATCGTCGAACTTCAACTTCTTTGCCACGCGCCCTGCCTCCTCCACAGGGCGTTCATTCTTCTGCTTCTTCTTCTTCTCTTGCCCTCCGCTGTCTCCCTTCTTGTCCTCACGCTTCTGCGCTTTCCTCTGGGCACCTTTGACCTGTGGACTCTTCTTGGTAGGTGACCTACCTCGTTGTCTCTCTTGTTTCTTGGGTTGCTTCTTGTCCTTCTCCTGCACAAGCGACAACAAGTCATCCTTCTTTTTGGACCTCTCCAGTGTTGAAGCGCCGCCACTAGAAGTGCCCTTGTCAGACGGGGTGCGGTAGACAAACTCAGCCGTATTGTTCGGCGACTGCTTTTGCTTGCCGGTGACGCGAAGTGCTGGACGTCGAGGTTCTGGGGCATCAGCTTTCTTCTTCCCATGTTTTTGCTTTTCCTGAGCCTTTGTTTTCGCCATGTGACCTACACTATTGGACAGTGTCTATGTCACCAGCTTCCCCTCAGGAACCAAAATCAGCTTGTGGGAAACAGTCGGCAGTGGATTCAGGAAAGGATTGAATCAATGGGTTTACAGTAGACTTCTACAAGTCGCAGCTTTTCTCGGCAAATCGCAACTTTCTCTCGACAAATCGCAGCTTTGAAAATGAACTTTTGCGATGATATTTTTATAAACCATCGATGTTTCCACTGGACATTCAGTGATGACTGTGTGAGCAGAAGCGGGCCTGCGCCCCCAGTGGGTCTCTTCAAGGTACTCTTCAGAACCAGTCGCGGCATGACACCTCCAGGACATGGGCTTTTGGGCCAGTGGACCAGTGGGATAGTGAGGGCCAGTGGGATAGTGAGGGCCAGTCAGTGGGACAGTGAGGGCCAGTGGATAATGAGGGCCAGTCGGATAGTGAGGGCCAGTGGGATAGTGAGATCTTGGCGTTGGCTCAATCGTTGATGCCCAGAGCTGGGCAATACCAGGCTCCAAAAACATGCCTAAAGCAGTGTTCTTAAGATTTCTTGACTCACCTTGTGGAACCTGTATCTCATTAGATTGTTTGCAAAAACGTTTTTATGTCTACTCTCTATTACGTTGTGGGGATGTGACCCCAGCTATAGAGTTGAAGAAGGGGTTGGATCGCTTTCCCTTACAAGCTTGAACCCATGCAAGTTCCCCCCCGGCCCAAGCATCTTTCACACCCCACGAGTTTCATGCGCCAAGGAAGCACATGAGGTTCTGCAATAATTGGCTAAAGGCTAAAGGCGAATGCAAAGGATGGCTTCTAGGTGGCTTGTTCCTTCTCTGGGCCTGCAGACCTCAAGGAAGATGCTAAGCCATAATTAGATGGGTTCAACTTCTAAGAAGTGAGGAAAGTGAAAACTGGGTCCAAGTCCGCATGCTTGGCCCAGAAACTCAACTCCTGCTGGATTCGCTTCTCCTTCGACCCAGCTGCAGCTTTGCGAAGGAAAGCTCGAGAGCTCTTCTTCACCGTGGAGCTGTGCTTGCTTCTCAGTTGGGCCATCGCGCGACCAAACCTGGGAAATAGCACAGTCTAGGCTGGACCCATTACACATCCCTCAAGTCCCATGTATAGTAGGTTGGGGGCCACTAAAAGGTTGAGAGTCCCTTCATTCTTGGGCACCTTTGGGTTAGCCTGGAAGCCCCGATAGAAATCAAGACCAAAGAACAAGAGAATTTGTTTCTACGATGAATGACCTAGAAACTCTTGGGTGTAGGCTTGACTCACCTTCAGCTGAGAATTTCCTTTCACTCGATGCTTGCCCTTGGAGTCCACATAATGGTCAACCAGCGCGACAGCCTTGCGTTTTACAACACGGCGTGGCTTGAACTGGTCCAAGTCTTCAATCTCAGGCCGACCTAGGAAGGTGGAGATTGGAAGACCCCTGAAACCATCAAGAGAGGTGGAAAGTGATCCAAGTCTTTCCTGTGCTTTGATTGGGATCAAATTGTGAACCCCTCAAAACTCTTAGGCCCCTTTAAGAAAAAACCAAGCCCCTGGCTGGAGTATAGCCAGGTCCCTTTGTCGCTTGCAGCCGCGTAGTCTGCCATTCTAACATACTTTCTCCATACCCGGATCCTACGCAACACTCTTTGCATCGCAGGATGATATTCTAGAAGAGAGCCTTTCGGCTGTTCGAGCACCCACCACACTCCACGGGCAGCGGCCAACAACAGCAGCAAGGCGCAGCGGCCCACCATGAGGTTACCCAATCTTACACTGGGAGCCCCGGTGTTTCCCAGAGGTAAAGCCCGGCTGCGCTTTGTAGAGCCTCTAGACCTGGGATCAAAGAGCTTATAAGGTCTGGCGATCGGATCCCTGCGTAAAAACTAAAACATTTGTGTTATCTTGTACTTTCACGGTGAAAAGTTTGGTTGAATTGGAGACCAGCGACACCCAAACCCATGTCGAGCAGACTGGTGCCAAGGTCAATGAAGAGCCTGGCGACAGCCGGAGCACCTGGAACACCGCGTTGACGAAGCCCCCAGGTGTCATGAAATCCATACACCTCCCCCCATACTCCAAATCCAAGGCTGCACATCGCTTGTTGTCCTGCAGCTGGCGAGCAGTGGGGTGTTTTAATTCTGGTTTGGTGGACCTCTATTTTTAAAGGTATATGACATATCGTATTTATATATTGTGTAAATGTATATATATATATACGTATATAAATACTTTATATCATAGACAGCTGAGCGCCAAAAGGCCGCTTCTCATCCAAAAGTAGTAGAGCAGTTCATCCCTGAACCCAGCTGGAGGCTGAATGTTTGGAATCACCCTGTCAACATCTGTTAACCATGTTCGCTAGGTTTCAACCACCCCAATCCTCTAGCTGGGCCAATGTCACAGCCATTTTGCCAGCAAAAAGCTCCACGTGATCCAAAGGACTCCACTGCAACCCTTTCATCCCGAAGACCAAGGTTGCCAAAACAAGAAGGACCTGTGCAGGTTGAGAAATCAGGGTCTAGCTCACCATTTTCACAAGTGGCCTCAAAGCCCTTTTTGGAATACAAAAACAAGGTCTCCAGGTCACTTGTTAAAATGCGAGAGAAACACACCAAGTTATAGACTGTTAGCTACACCTTCAAAAATGTCCAAAAGGGCGAGAGTATGAGTCTGAGAGTATGATATGTTTTCGAACCACACCTTGGGAGCTCCCAGCGCGCGAAGACCCTGCATGGTCCACTTCTTGTGGAGCTGACGCATGGTGCGAGCGGCTGAGGCGTTTCCAAGCACCTCAGGAACCTTCTTCGTTGCCTCCACCTGCTTCTCGCTTGGAACCCTGGTGCTCACTGAGGGCATGAGGTTAAGGGCTGAAGCAAGCTCCAAAGCAAGTGAAACTTGAGCGTCCAAAAATGCTTGTTCGGGCTTCATGAATGCATTCAGCAAACTCTGTTGCGAGTGGAATTGCTGCAAGCTTACTTTTGGTTTGTGGGACTCAATTTGGTTTGTTTGTGAACTGCTTCCAATACCCATTCCAGAATCATCACAAATTGAGGTGCAGTCGCCGTTTGATTCAATGATTCAGGAAGCTGAGAAGGGTGGGGTATCGCATCTTGCACACCTAGGCCCCTCCTAAAGCTGTGGCAAGAACAAAGATTGGCATGAAGAGGAGCGAGAAACGAAACTCCAGACTCCATACCCTGCCTTCTCTCCAGCGTTGCTGTACCCCCGCAGCGCATTGAACCACTGTAGGTAACAGTTTGGCTAGAAACAAATACAAGCCAATTAAAGTTGCCAAGCAAACCATTATCTTTTCTCTATGGATTTCACTAACGTATCAAGCATCTTGTGGGTTGAGCCCTAAAAAAGAATGCGCTCCAATGTCGCAAACAACCAATGCCTTGCTATTTCATGAGCCATACACGAACTGAAAAGAAAGGTGAGAACAGCCATGAACCATGCGCTTTCTCAAAATAGAGAAAGGGTGAAAAACAACACTGAATCAAGAAGACTGTGTGGGCAATGTAGCAATCTTCCGGAAATCAAATCGGGCAGACGTTTTGCTCGAGTGCATTTGTCAGGACCTGAAAAGCCTGAGCTGCTGAAGCTGTCGCGGGCTCCGGGTCTTGACACTGGCAGGTGACAGGGATTTTCACAGGATCGAACAGGTGGAGTGAGAGCTTATTGTGAAACCCTCTATGACAGCATCTTTTGCAGCTCCCCCAATCATTCCACATGGAATGAGAAACCCTCTCAAGGTCCTGGTCCTACGCAGTCAGCTAAATATACTCATGAGAGTCCGGTGGCGCACAGCTTCCAAAGCAACACTGTTTTTGTTAGACAGTTCAAGAAAATGCCCAGTGCTTAGAACATGGAAAGCTATTTGAACGCAATGATATATTCGACAAAAAGGCCAAAATAGAAGCCGCACCATGCTGCACCCATGTTCTACACAGACGCAGACCTTTCCAAACCTGCCCTCTCCACTGCAATTTTAAATGCAGCCTTGGGCCCACCATTCTTTGCCCACGAAACTTGTCCAGTCGGGCCAGTACCCTTCGGTCCGACCTTTTTCACAAAATATGCTTCTTTCTGAAGCAAGACTTCAACAACACCGCCAAAATTCAAAGTGTAGGAGTGGGAACCTTGATTACTCCTTGACAAATCTGGCCGTGCCTCAATGGGCACTGGTGTCAAATCGTACCCCGCATACACGGTCCCGCTCGGTCGCGGTCCCACCAAAGCCCCCTTCTTAGGCGCTGTGTGCTTGAAACTGGCCTTGCCCTTACCACTTGACGCCTTGTTCTTCTTGACCTTCTTCTTGTTCTTGTCGCTCTCCTTGGGGGCCTGCAGAAAACAGAAGCGCAGTCAAAAGTGAGCAACCTGACTCGTGCACAAATCAACTAAATGAAGACCGATGCACGATCCAACTCTCAAATCATAATGAACACGCTCTGAAAACAACCAGTGGGGCCTTGCTGTGCTTTGGCGGCGTTCCTACCATAGGAAAGCCCCAAAACTGTGGCTGCTTGCGCGCGGGAGTAGTCATGGTCGACTGAGAGGACGGGGCTGCTAATGCCGCTTTGTGCGCAGACGTGGAGCCCTCATGCATGGCTTCCTCAAAAGTGTCTCCATCGTTTCCTGAACCAAATGACTTGGGACTAGGACGCTCATCCAAGAGCTCACCGTCACAATCTGTGTCCTCAGCATCACCCATCTCCTGGTCCTTGTCAGAACCAGAAGCCTCAGAGCCGAGTCCGGGCAGCTCCAAAGTCTCTGACTCACTGCCATCAGGGTGTAGGTTCATCGTACTCTTTCCACGTGCCAGTTTGGCAAGTGGAGAGGCAGGCTTGCTGTTCTTAGACGAGCCTACATTCAGTGAGCTCTTTCCAGGACAGCCCTCACTCTCTGCTGTTGACACGTTGGAGGGCCCATTTGAGGCGTCAGAGTCACTGGCCCCATCATCTGGCTCTGACTCCCCAGACCCAGCTGCATCTCCCAAATTGTCTGGCTCTGACTCCCCAGAACCAGAGCCGGAGACCCCCCATCCCTCACAGAAGGCTCATCGTCGGAAGCATCACCTGCAGCATCACAAATGGGCTCCGGCTCCTGGGAGTCCTGCAGAAAACAATTTGTAGAAGTGAAGTGAGCCAAAATTGATTGATGGACGCCAAACAAAATGGCAACTCCCAAAGTCATGCTCTTCAAAGCAAAAACAGGGCGCTTCTAGGTGACTGTCCTCCGGTTGCTGTCTACCACGAGTGGGCGACCTCCGCAAAATGGATTTGAGCTCTTCCACATAGCCGTCGACGCTGGTCTCAGGGCCTTACAAAGGAAATAGGGAAGATGAAATGCGATAGCAAACGTGAAATTTTTGCGCAATCCTTCTTTGTAATATCTGACATTTCTGTTTCCACAAAACATGAAGCTTAGAATCAATTCCTGAAGAGATGACGCAGTGCTCCCATGAGCTTCTTGACTCTCTTGGATTCAGCTGCTGCCATGTCTTGTTTCGTTTGATCAGCTGCTGGAACCAACAAAGACCCTTCCAGCAACCCATCCAAGAATAGAAAGGCATCAGCAATGTAAAAGCCGCTTGGAACCTGCGTACGCAAACACTGGCACTCTCCATGAGAAAGGATGGCGCATTGTTGCAATCAAATTGAAATCCAAGAACCTTCCTTAAGCCAGAGTGTTTGAATGTGTTTGCGCAGCCTTGTCCGGGCTCTCCTCGCACACTGCCTTCATCCATGTATAGTTCCATGAAATCTCCTGGAGACAGCGCATTTTTCTGGTGGGTCTAGTGAACATGAAAACTGCTACGTGAGTTCATCTACAAATCCAAACAAAAATCACTGCAACAACGAGAACCCTTTCCAATCCTTGCAACTAGGCGTAGAGATGTCGGACTTCAGTCCAATCAAAGCTGTTCCAGGTCTGACCCGTTGGTTCTCAATCATCCGGTACGCTTTCTCTGGGATGTCGTGCAACCACTTGGTTGCGAGACGTGCCTAAATGGACTGGGAAGCCAAACATCATCAAATATCTAAAGCTCTTTCTGCCAAAAAGTCCTATGATTTGAGCGTGCAGTCATCTAACCCCCTGACACACTCACTGGCGAGGGGCCACATCCTGCTCAGACCAACTGATCTTCCCAGGCCCTTGGTCAAAATCAATCGCTCGCAAACTTGAAAAAAACAAACCTCACGCGCGTTATACACAATGATGCCACCTGGGCACTAGTAGACTTCCATGCTGGCTTTGCAGGAGCCGCCATGACCAACAGTGGGCGCGAAAGCGAAGGCAGCGAATGGTCGTTAGAGCTTGGCGTGCTGCGTGTCAACGCAGCGTGAGAAGCGTTCCAGCGAAACACAAGAAGGTGCATCACCGGACTCTCTGACTAAACAGGTTTTGTTGGCCCCTTCATAGTTTTTTGAAAAGTCACCCCCTCAAACCTCGCGGACCAACCCTTCAAAGGTTTTCTGAACACCAGATGTGCCAAGAAAAGGAGCTGTCTCACATGTAGAGTTTCACGCGCGTGGCGTGCCTGAGATGCATCGCAGATCTCTGCGAAGCTGGTTGAAAAAAACAAGAAGCTCACGCCCTCCAAAGCGTGATGGCCTTTGTGAAGGGATCTTTTCTGATTTTTTTTTGGGGGGTATGGTACCCTTTCTGAAACAGGAACATGTTAGTGTCACAAACGTGCGCGCGTTTACCACAAGGAGAGGTCATCGCATATACACACACACACACACATTTTTCTCAGTCATCCCCATATATAGATATGTATGTTTTTACGAGCTCAGCAGGAAGCTTGACAGTGCATGCACGGGCTCAATGATTCCACCTTTGTCCAAGAAGTGCAACTATAGTGGGCTTATGACAGCAGCAGCGCTGCAGCGCCGCACCTCTTGTGGCACAGTCTTGTGTGGGACACTCTTGTGGGAAACTCTTGTGGGACACCCTTGTGCCACATCGTGAAGATGTGGACACTAAACACACAGCTACACCTGAAGCATGTTTGCTGGGGCTCTGGTAAGCCCTATCTCCCACACCTTCTATATATGAAGGGCACCATGGTTTTAACAAACCACAACTCCAGCTCCCATTCGTATGGGCGATGTCCTTGGGACAGCTTTGGACCCTCACGGAAAGGAAACACACCACCTCATTCAGATGCTCAGACACGAGAGCAACACTGGCAACATCGATGACTTAAGTCATGTCGCAAGCGAATTCTGTCTCGCTGATCCTTTAACAAAACACACCGCTAAACCGGATGAACTTGTGAGAAGCATAGAGACAGGAACACTCCGACAGGTTGATGTACACCCACCTTTCCGCACACTTGTGAAACACAAGGCCTTTATAACTGAGTGGGTCATTAATAACCTGCCGGATCCACAGTTTGTTCTCACATTCTTTGCTGAAGACATATCAGACTGTGTATATTCACTTATGTAT